CACCGGCATCGTCACCGGCACCGGCACTGGCATTGCCACCGGCATCGTCACCGGCACCGGCATTGCCACCCGGCATCGTCTCCGCCACCCGGCATCGTCAGCGGCACCGACACCAGCACCGACACCGGCATTGTCACCGGCACCGACACCGACAATGCCGGCACCGGCATTGTCACCGACACCGTCACCGGCACTGTCACCGACACTGGCACTGGCATCGTCACCAGCATTGCCACCGGCATCGTCACCGACACCGGCACTGGAACTGGCACCGGTATTGCCACCCGGCATCGTCACCGACACCGGAACCGGCACCAGAACCAGTACCGCCACCGGCATTGCCACCAGCACCGCCACCGGCATTGCCACCGACACCGTCACCGCCACCAGCACCGCCACCGGCATCATCACTGACACCGGAACCGCCACCAGCATCGGCATCGTCACCAACACCGGAAACAACACCGTCGCCGCCATCAGCACCACCACCGGCATTGCCACTGACATCGTCACTGCCACTGGAACCGGCATCGACACCGGAACCGCCACCGGCACCGCCACCAACATCGTCACCGACACCGGCACCAGCACTGGCACCAGCCCTGGCACCACCACCAGCACCAGCAACGTCACTGCCGCTGGAACCGGCACCACCACCCGAACCGACACCGGCACCGCCACCGGAACTGGCACCACCACCGTCGTCGCCACCAACATCATCACCGTCACCGTCACCGCCACCGTCACCGCCACCGTCACCATCCCCACAGGGGCAGGGCCGGGGGGGCCGCGGAGAGCGGGGGCAGGGGGAGCAGCGGCTGGGCACGCACCGGGCGCCTGCTGGGCCGGAGCGGGGGCCTGGCTCCCGGCACCTTCCTCTTCCTCCTTGTGCGGCGCCGCGGGCGGGTGGCCGCCGTCCAGCTTGTCCATGAGGCGGTTGAGGGTGGAGGCCAGCGACTTGGAGGCCTGGTTCCGGTCAAACTCACCCTTGAGGCCCTCGGTCTCCAGCTCGTCCTCCACCTGGGAGAGGCGGCGGATAGCAGGGGACGAGGCGGGGACAGKCGCGTCCCCCCCGGCCCGAGGGACGGCGCACCTCGTTGATGATGTTGTCAAACTCCTTCTCCATTTCGCTCTTCACTTCCTCCTTGAGCTGGGCCATCTGCTCGCGGGGCAGCA